CTGTCCCCCATGCACGCTGCCTCTTGGCAGTCCCAGGAGCCATCTTGTCTGTACTCTGGACAAGAGCCAAGCTCGCTAAGGATGGCTGACTCCCTCCATCTTCCCCGCCTAGAGGACTCTTCCATTCCAGGTCTCAGAATGTGACTGCCCACTGGCGCCTCTCTCTTGGAGGGAGAGCAGTATCCCCAAACCTGGGTTTGAGCCCAGGTGTGCTGCCCTGTCTCCCTGGGTCAGACCTCACCTGGGCTTCGAACTAGGGATGAACGAGGTTGCCAGAGAGGCTCCTGGAGTGGTGTGAGGGATTAGATGGGCATTTTGAAGGGACTTCAAAGAGCTCCATGGAAAGAAGTGCCTGGTAGCTGTATATATGGTCATAGGCTTTGGGAAGGCAGAACAATAAAGGGAAATTGGAGAGGGAAAAAAATGTGTGAGATAGCCTTGCCCAGAGCCCCAGGAAGCCTAGTGCCCTTAGATGGGGTGTACCCCGCCTTGGCTCCCAGACTCCAACTTATCCACCAGTCCAGGGCCTGCACAGCTTAAATAGGAAAGCTCACAGCTCGGCAAAGGCTAGGGCTTCGTCGGGCCACTGACTTGACTGTTTTGTTAAAATGGAACCACTCGCACTGGCCTCTTGCTCGTTTCTTATACTTCTGGTAATGGTCGTTATTTATTGACTCTGGTAGCAGGCAGTTCTTAAATAAAGACGGTTTCTCAAGCTGCAGAGGCAGCTGGCCACAGCTGTGGGTGTCTGCTGCTCAGGCTAGAGCCCTGCTCGCTAACCCCAGGCCTTTCTCCAGTCCATCTTCATCCTCCAGTCAGCTGAGGAGGTCACAGCACACAGTGCGCACTGCTCTGCTCAGTCCTGGAGGGGAGAATTAGGCCCAAAGACTTCAAGGTGGGCCTAAGCAGAGCACAAGCAGGCATGTGCTGGACTGAGCCGGCTTTACCTTACCTAACACGGTGCACAGGGAACCGTGCTCCTGGGATGCACTGCTTTCAGGTTCCCTGATTTTTAAGACATTTGAGGTGCTGACTCAATGGTGCCAAAGGGAAGTCCTCTCCCTGCAGACATACAGTGACATCACCGCCCCCACGCCACCCCCGGCGAGAAGGTACCTCTAGTCCCTGCTCACAGCAGCCAAACGAATTTTGAGTCCCTAGTCACATCGTCTAGTTGCAGCACTGTCTCATGCATTCAGCAAACTTCCTTCACATCTGGGACGTGTGCAGCGACACACTCACGCAGCCCTGCAAGTGTTCAGTTCTTCTGGTGCAGAGCATGCAGGGATCCATGCTGACTGCGCCCACAGCCTTCACCAGGGAAGAGGGAGGTGGAGGCAGGCAGAGGCCCCGGTACTCAGTGCTTAGCTCTGTGACCAGGCCTGTTCAGAAGCCCAGGCTGACAGCAAGCCCCCAGGGGCCAGCGCAGGCAGTGGGATGACACCACCACAGGCTCATTCCCCTCTGCCCCCAGAGGGGCTGCTAGGAGCACTGGCCGCTCTAGAATCCAAATTTTAGTCCAGTCAGCATCTCCTCTACCCTCCAGAGGCAGATCCCAGCCCAGAACAACGAACTGAACTGGATTTTGGTTTTTCCTAAGACATCCAAAGGGCTTTGTTCTCTTCCATGTCCAGTCCCTTCACATCCTAAGAGTCAAAATCCAGAGCCCAATGCACAGAGGGCTCCAAACCTACAGCTATACAATATTCCACCCCATCTTGATGACTGGCTTGTAATAGAATGCTGGAGAAGTTACTTAGCTTTTCTTGGGTCTCAGTCTCTCCGTCTGTAAAATGGGAAACTGTACCCCTCACTCCTCCCTCTCCAGCAATGTAGTAATGAGTTCATTACATACAAAGATATTAATGTTTTCTGGTCATCTTTTAAAGTAAAGCAGGCTCTCTCCTGACTGCTTCAGCAGACTGTCCCACACTCATCTAATATGCTTCCTAAATGACATCCCTTTCTCATGTCCAGTTCTTCCGTCTACAAAGCAGGTTTACTCAGAGGCTCTCGTTTGATCCTCACAATCCTGTGTTTCAAAGATGAGGACCAAAGGGTCAACTTGCTCCCTTACACAGTCAGTAACAGAAACAGGACCATGCCCCATGTCTTCTGAGATTCCTCCCCTCTGTGGTGAAGAGAATGTGGAAAATTTAAGATCCTTTCAAAATAAGAGCAATAGTAAAGACATCCTATTCGTGGGCCTAAGCCAGCGGTTCTCAACCTTCACTATATATCAGAATTACCTGTAAAACTTCTGGAAAAAAGATGCTTTGAACTCATGATTATCTCTATCTGGGACACTGAAAGGGCCTAGAAACAATGACTCTCCAGTGGCAGTAAGCACATTCAGCACCCTGACCTTGGTTTCTAAATAGTACTCCCCACACCACAAAGTACCAGAGTCCCTTGGAGAAACAGCAGATTCAGATGTAGAGAAGGCAAAGTCCAAATGTGGATCTGAGACACCTTGTTGTACCAGAAAGCAAGGACATGCTCAAAGTCAAAATAGGACTACATCAAAAGGACAAAAAAGATAGCTGGAAGCGACTCTTACTGGCCAAAATTGGGGACACTTTGAATATCAAAAATATGAATGGATTATATATCATTCTCTGAATCAAACAGAATCCATTAAGGGGCCGGCCTGGTGGCATAGTGGTTAAGTCATGTGCTCCGCTTGGGCGGCCCAGGGTTTGCAGGTTCAGATCCTGGGCACAGACCTACACACCACTCATCAAGCCATGCTGTGGCAGCATCCCATATACAAAATAGAGGAAGATTGGTCCAGATATTAGCTCAGGGCCAATCTTCCTCACCAAAATAAAAAAGAGAGAGAGAGAATCCACTGAGACCTCAAAAATAAAGAATAAAAAAAGAGTTCTTCTTCACAGAAAAATGCAGGCTAATAAATATAAACGTGATGGACTTAAAAGAATTACCATTTTGCAATCCCCAACATGTAATATAAGGCAAGGGTCATGAATGGATGCCAAAGACGTTTGTGAAGTTTTTAGAAAAACACATAATCACAAAGTATCGCCCCACAGATTACTGAACGCAAAAAAAAAAATACATACGCCGTTAGTGAGACCTGGCAGTCACCACCTTAAACAAACGATGAAGCTCATCATCAGTCATGGGTCACCTGAGGTAACACAGTAAGTGCATGCCACTTACACAGGGTTCTGAGGTAGCGCAGTAAGTGCATGCCACTTACACAGGGTTCTGAGGTAGCGCAGTAAGTGCATGCCACTTACACAGGGTTCTGAGGTAGCGCAGTAAGTGCATGCCACTTACACAGGGTTCTGAGGTAGCGCAGTAAGTGCATGCCACTTACACAGGGTTCTGAGGTAGCGCAGTAAGTGCATGCCACTTACACAGGGTTCTGAGGTAGCGCAGTAAGTGCATGCCACTTACACAGGGTTCTGAGGTAGCGCAGTAAGTGCATGCCACTTACACAGGGTTCTGAGGTAGCGCAGTAAGTGCATGCCACTTACACAGGGTTCTGAGGTAGCGCAGTAAGTGCATGCCACTTACACAGGGTTCTGAGGTAGCGCAGTAAGTGCATGCCACTTACACAGGGTTCTGAGGTAGCGCAGTAAGTGCATGCCACTTACACAGGGTTCTGAGGTAGCGCAGTAAGTGCATGCCACTTACACAGGGTTCTGAGGTAGCGCAGTAAGTGCATGCCACTTACACAGGGTTCTGGGCAAAAACGTCAGTCATTCCTCAGGAAGCTCATCAGAAAATGGCAAATCCAGACTGTGGGGTACTATCCAAGACAAATGGCCACCTAGGCTCTCCAACAAAATCAACGTCATAAAAAACGAGAAAACATGCAGGGGACCTGCTGTAAAGTAAGACTTAAGAGACAGAACCAAATGTAGTATGTGAACTTTCGTTTGATCCTGGATCAAAAACTGAAAAGCCCTAAGATTTTAGAAATTGGGGCAAATGAGATATCAACTCTATGTCAGACTAGGGAGTTACTCTCCTTAGGTGTGATGAAGATGCTGCGGTGACACCGGAAGGCCCCATTAGGAGATGCACACGATGTAGGACTAAGGGTCACAATGTCTGTGACTAGCTTCCAAGTGGTTCAATAAAATTTATGTATATTTAGAAAGATAATTCTAGCAAAATGTTCACAACTGATGAACCTATGGGTGTAAAAGGGTAAAGGGCCTATGGGTATCATCGAATCTTTCAACTTTTCTATGGGTTTGAAATTGTCTTTAATTAAAAGTAGAGGAAATAATAAAGATCCACTGGCCATAATTTAAACTAAACTAGCACCCTCAGGATTGGGGCTCAGGAATCTTATTTTTCAAAAGCTCACCCAGGTGATTCAGACACACAGCTAGAAAAGAGAACCACTGGTCCATGTCTTGGCTTCTGCTACCCCCTCTGCAGCTGGAGAAAAGTGAGGGAAGGAATGCTGTAATTCTCTCAGTCGAAGTAGCTCAGCTGGTGGCCACAAGCCGCTTTCCTGAGGGTTCCACAAGCCAATTATCTCACAGTCTGAATGGCCTCTGAGGGTCTTAAGACTGGATTTCCTACAGAGGAAGGAAGGTACTAGTCTTGGCTTAGGGGGCCTTGGATGCTATAAGAAACCAATACACTTGACCTTTCCAGGAAGACAAGCTTCAGGGCACTGAAACAGCAAACAGGACAGGAGCAGGGAGCAAGCCAAGGAACCGTTCAGGGGAACCTACCAGATGAGGAAGTCAGTGTTTTGCCAGGAATCAATTTAACACTGAACACAGATGCTTCCCCTGGGAGTACAGACAATGTATTAACACTTAGTGACTAGGTCAGAAGTCATTGCTAACCACCTCAGCTCTGCTACAAAGGGGTATATGCCCCCTTACAAAGCAATGTGTTCATGTCTAGTCTAAGAAATTCGAGGAAAATGAAAACCAGACTGATTATGGGACAATTTAAATGAATGCAAGAAATTTCTAACTAAAGAACAAAAAAGGTTACGTCCCCAGAGAGCTACCGTGAAATATTTTTATTGAAGAGGAAAAAAATGTTTTCACTGGAAATGCTATCAATATATCCTTCTACATGATTATACTGCCTGAAGAAGTGAGCCAGAGGTGGGGAGGCATACCAGTTGTAAAGGGTAGAAAATGAAGGCGGCTTGGACGACAGAACTCTTCCCAGGAGTGGGGGAGATGCCTGCTGTCAGGTTTCCTGGGTCCCTAGTGGGCAGGAAGATCAGGAAGAGCTCCATCTGGGACACTAGGTTTGAGATTATTGGCCACAGCAGCCATGATGTTGCCCCTCTCCACATCCCCCACTCCCTCTTTTGGCAGTGGATGCCCTCCCTCTTAGCTGATCCACAATCAGGCAGTCAGAACACTCCCCTGAAAAGCTAGCTTGGCTTCCTAAGCAGTCCATCCAGCTTCCTGGGCAGCCAGCCCTTCGGATGCAAAGCTGGTAGGGTCTTAAGGCTGACACGGCTGTAACTCACCCTCAGCCCACGGCACAAGACAATGCTCACCAGCATACCAGCAGCCACTCCAGCGGCAATTCCGATTCCCAAGGCTACAGCCACCTTCCTTTTCCACAGTGGGCGGTGAGGCCTGGAACAGCTGTCCAGGTTCACTTCCAGGCCCTCGTCTACTAACTTCTGATCCTCAGTAAGGGACTGATGGAAATTCAGATTCACCAAGTTAGGAGGAAGGACCCTCAGCCCAAAATAGAGCCTCTTGACAAGCCTCAAGTTCTTCACCAGCTGCACATCGCACCGGTAAGTCCCGGAGTCACGCTCCTGCGCAGGCTCAAACTTCACAAAGTGAGAGCTGGCCCGGAAGGGTCTGAAGACCTCATCGTCAGTGGAGATGATCCCCCGAGCAAGTCTCCAGGTGAACCGGAAAGCTTCCTGCCCAACCTCCAGGATGTCTGAACTCAGACAGCTCAGCTCAAATTCCTCCCCTCTGAGAGCGGTGAAATGGAGCATTCCACAGATCCAGTTGGTCAGACACTCCAAGCGCTGAGATTTACACTTCCTTCTCACTCCATCAGGGCCCACCTCACACACAGTCTCCTCCTTATAGCCAAGGCCACAGGTGACAGTACAGGCGGTGGCATTGACGATAACTTTCCCCACAGCTTCTTGCAGTTTCTCAGGGATGGCCAGTGTTTTAGGCAAAGTCACCGCCAAAGGCAGGCAGAAGGCCAACACCAGGCTCCCAAGGATGAAACTAGTGGCCAAAATCTTCATGTCGCAGTATGCATCTCACCATCCCAGCTAGCACCCCAAGGTATTCCAGTTGAATCCTTTACGATATCGTAACTTAATTCCTTTGATGTGAGATATCCTTCAAAGTCAAAAGATATGTTGTCTGCACTGTCAGTAAAACAGTGGCACTTATAAAAGTCCAGTCCTTATTAACAGGTGAGGCCACAAGGCAGGGAGAAAAGCCACAATGTTGCTCCTTTACTATCTCTGCTTGTTAATGACCCCCTTACCAGTCATTATGCTTTCACATCCTTTAAATGAGTATTTAAATCCACCTCTTGGGAAGACAAAGATGAAAGACTTCAGAAGCAGAAGCCAATGTCCAAATCACCTCAAACGCAGAGCAAAGCTATCCCCTTTCTCACCCTTTCCCCTCCCCTCCAAACTGTGGGATCTAAATTAAAAGGTTTCAAAATATCAGTTAAATCTGACCAAATAATAAATCAAATACTGAGCCTAAAAAAGAGGATTAACTTGAATTATTATTAACTTTAAATGCTCCTAAACCGTCTATAAAAAGGATTAAGAATTCTGGACTGGGAAGGCAAGTGACTTACCCTTCCTGAATTTCTATTTCCTCCTTTGTAAATTAAGATCTCCTTGCCTATTTCAGGAAGGTCACTTTGAGCATCAAATGATAAACTGTACATGAAAACACTTTGTAAACTGTGCAACACTGTAAGGAATTTTAAAGAGAAATGAAAATTCAGGAAGATAACAGCCCAGAACCCTTTTAGAATGCGAATGTTTATCAGCAAGACAGGCGATATAAACACAGCTCCTCTCCCCCAGCCAGGCACTCCTCCTCCCCGGGGACACTCCCTGCTTCTCAGCCTACTCCCTTCACCCTACAGAACAGAGGAGCTCATTATTCACTTGGCCAAGGTTGCTGGGAAACTGCTATGATGTCAAAGACAGATTCTCAGGCACGTAACGAAAAAGATTAATAAGCACTCAGGTTTGGTGATGATTAAAGTCAAAGACAACTTTATGAAACATCTTATTCTTTAGGAGACAATGAATATTCAATGGACTTCAAAGCTATTTAATCTAGGGAGGAAAAAGGCTGATAAAGAGGAATTTAACTGCACTTAAACTTTAAGAAAGATCCTTGCAAAGCAGGAGCCCCCTCGCATGCGTCCCTCTGACCTCCAGGAGGCCTCCCACACCGCGGCTCCAGAGCAGGTGCTCCCCCTTACACTGAGCTGGACAGAGGTCGTTCCTAGATGATCTTTTGATTTAACACCAACTTTTTGTCTGAATCGTTTATTTACAATCTGTCTGGAGGCAGAAACCTGGACTACCACCGCTACCTTTCCCAGCTCTGTATCTCCACACAGAAAGAAGATCGGTCATCAACACAGTAAGTGCATTTTTCCATCACACACGGCAAAGTGGCTGGTGAGTTTTAGAAGTGACCAGTGGCTACAAACAAACATCTACACCTGTCCTTTAATAAACATCCAATTTTATTTACAAAGCATTAAAGCTTCAGCAAGAAGTACCCAAGGCTAAGTCTCGTCTCGTACAAAACTAGAGAACATTAAAAAACAAAACAGTGTGGGGGGAGGGGACCACAAAGGGAAGAAAAGAATATGCATATATTGTACAAATCAAGAAAATCAAAATGAAATAGACAGAAGGTTTTAGGAGCTGAAAAAAATTCCCAAAATATAAATAATTATTAGGAGCTGCTGCCAGAGACAATCTGACAGGGCTGAAGGTGACTTTCTCTGCAGCCAGTTGAGGAGGTGGACACAGTATAAACATCCACGCGCACAGAGAGAACACAAGCTCCTGTGCACATGGAAATAAGGCAGAGACCTTCTGTATCACACAGTCTGCACGCTACGGCAGCGCACAGCCCAGAGAGAAATGGAATGGAAATGACGTCTGCAAAACAAAACGAGGTCTCGGGAGAGACCTGACAATTTTTACCACTGGTCTGATGTAAAACATGAAATAAAATTCACACGATGAGCGTTTGAAGAAAAAACAGGCGCATCTAAAAATATAGACATTTTGCAACAGACTCAGGGAGAGCTCTTAATTACTTTAATTACTGAATATTTTGATTCTAGAAGATGGAATGGGAGAAAGAGGCTCTTACCGATGCATTCTACTTTGATTTCTATCCTAAAATCCAAAAGGTAATCAATGTCTCTGGCTACCCGTAGGAACATCCACAGCTGATAAGAGATTCCACGATAAGCAGTGTTTAAACTCTCCTTGGAAAATACTGTGAAAATGGCGATCCCAATTAAGCACTTCTGATCAGCTGAAGGCTCTGCTCAGAGCCGAGGGAACCCTCGCCACACCTGGCTCTTTACTCTGCACTTTCAGAGAATTTCAAACACCTAATGTCCACATCCATCCAATCTGCTACTTTTTATATAAAGAAGAGCAAAAGCAAAAAGTAAAAATTAAAATTTTTTTAAAAGCTAAGCAACCTTTCACAGAAAGGAAGTGACTGAAAATACGTCGGAAGGGAAAGGAGCACGGAGACAAGAAGGGGAGAATGCAATGACTGACGGAAGGACAGAAAGCCACAGCAGTGATAAAAAATTTTTCCCTTGATCTTTGATTTCAACTGCATTGTTGCTGCTCTGACCCTGGACGGTTTCCTTTAGTCCTTGCTTCGACTCCCCAACCCAGTGAAAAGGCAGCTCGTCAGGAGACATCTTGGCTCGCGTCCACCTCTGGAAGCCAGCACAGGTAAAGCAAGATCAACTACTGATGATTCTTTGCTGGAGATAGATGGAACGAGCCATCTTCAAAAACCATGATCAAGGAGAACGAACCAACCCGCTGGCGGGAAACATGCACTGAAAGGAAAACAAACACCCTGACCTCTCCCAGCCCAGCTTCTTGAGCAAAAGTCAGCATGTGAAGAAAAGTGGACCTTTCTTATCTTTCCTCCCTTTCTGAAAACTTGAAATCTTTCAAGCACTTTCTTTTCTGCTCATCCTTTCTACACAAAGCGGAAATATAGGAGGTATCGGGTGAGATGATAAGTTTAAAAGTGGGAGAAAGAATAGGCAACAGCAGTTTTTCTGGACACCAGTAGCAGAATTTCAGATAAGAACAAGTCACTCAAGGACATGCACTGAGGGTGGAAGGCAAACAGGAGACAGGAAATGACAGGTCAAAATGATGCAGGGTACAATAAAATTAGATGAGCAAAACAGGTATCTTTTCTCCAGCAATGTAAGTATTAAACTTTCAATGAGTCAAAACTCCCATGTGGCATCTTCACAAATCCTTGTTCCTGAGAGCCTGTTTGGACTTATGCTTGAAAGGGAAGGGACGTATACTCTTCTTCCATAATTCACTTCTTCATTCAAACATAAAATTCACTCTTTCCACCTCCTGGGTGGGAAGCAGAGGCCTTTGTTTTAAATTAAAGTCAATCTCAAATGACTGACCACAGTGTCCAGAGGCCACATGATGGCAAAGTAGGGAAGAACGAAGAGCTTCAAGGATCTTCATAACAGTTCTGAGATTGCTCCCCCTGCTAAAGAGATGAGACACAAAAACATTTCTTTCAGCATCAACTGAGACCAGTTACTTCCAAAATGAAATATGCTGGGTGCGGGATGGGGCAGTCCACATACATGGAACCCCCCCATGTAAGTCCGACCCAGCTCCAACGCCCAGTTACTCTTCACTTCCAGAAGCAACAAAAAATCCAAATCCCAAACCCCCACCCCAATACTTTTCTCAGTACTGCCCCAAAGGGGAAAAAAGCTGCTAACCATTCTCCAAGGTATTAACAAACAATGCTTTACAATCCAACAAGTGCAGTAAGGAAAGGAGAGGAATTCTACGGTGCTACATCTTTCATCTATTAGACTAAGTAGTCACTAAATGATTAACCCTCTTCCAAGCACCCCTGTTCCTTAAGTGACATCTTCATCACCTTAGAATCCCAAATACGGTGAAATGTTAATGAAAACTACTGGCAGCATTTCTATGCGCCAACAACTGATCAATAAATAAAAATCCTAAACAGGAAAATCAAATGAACACTTCCCTGATTATTCCATAGAAGTTGTTCAACCTCTGAGGGACATCCTTAAATGGGAAACTGTGAAATATTAACCAGGAAGTATAAAAAGAGAAGAAGATGAAGAAAATCCTCCCACATTCATCTGGAATGGGGAAGAACATGCCCACTTGAAGGTAAAATGGATAAACAATAATTGCCCAAGTCTGAAAGAAAAGTGCCCATTTAGAAACTTTGCTTTTAACCTGATTTTTAAAGTAAAACTTCAAGCATAGGTGAAAACTAGCAATAAAAAAATATTCCCATTTGCCTGAGAACAGACTGAAATTACACAATACAAACTCCCTGGATACAGACTCTCCTTCAACGCTACACTGTTAAAAATCAAATTTAAACTTCATATGGTTCAGTAAGATAAAAAGCTTATTTAGCACCAATTTTTCAGATCTCTCTCCCAACATAAAATATAATAATTAACCTCCTGAGTTGATTTTTTTAAAAATCCTGAGACAGAAGAATCTACCGCACAGGACTCAATGCCACGCCTCTGCAGCCCACAGGTTAGTCACTGCTGGTCCCACAGGCACCCTGACCAACCTGGTTTAACGGTTTAAAAAGGAACACAGCACTGCCATTCTAAGCCTGAATCCTAACAGGAAAAAGTGGTTTGATCACAAATCAACAGCATTACTAATGGACACTAAGATGACTAACGAACTACATTATAGTGATTGTCTGAGGTCAGTTCACATTTCTGCTATCGTCCTCGTTCATGTGAACAGACCAAAAAGAAAAAAACAAAAGGCTTGTTGAGGCATCAGGCAACTAACCAAAACCAGAGCAAGCAACACCATGAGCAAGGTAAGAGACAGATACAGCAAGACAAGACCCCCAGGCTACTGAAAACTCTATCCCAACAAGACAGATTATTTGGTTGTGACATAAAGGAAATCTCCAGTAACGCAAAATTAAGAAAAATCCACTTCATGATGAACAGCTGGTACTAGTACCTCCCAATAGCAGCCAAGCCTAAGAAACACTGAATTACTGGTTTCAAATGTTACCTTAGCTAATAATATCACCCAAAATGAGAAAGAATATCCAACTAGCCATCTGATTTTAGCAGGAATTCTTTGAGAGACTGATGATTTTTTTTAAAAAGGAAGAAGACGGTAAAAAAAAAAAAAAAAAAAAAAACCCAAAAAACCCCTGACTCACTCCCAACCATTTAAAGCAAGCACAGGTTTAGTCAGTGAGGAGGAGATGGCGTGGAGCGGAGCGGGGGGCCTAGCGGCACAAGGAGGGCAGTGGTACAGCCACAAGGAGATCTGTGCAGTTGTACAGTGCCTGTCTGCCCCTAGAGGGGGCGCCTCTGCTTGCCTTAGCCTTTGCCACGGCAACAGATGCAGGTGCACACCACGCCCTTCATGCTCACCATCCCACGAGGCTTTTAGACCACGGATGTGACAGACCACAACCTTGTTACAATTGCTACTAATGATGTTTACTGCCAAGGAGCCTAGTTCTTGGGCAATCCTTGAAGCAGCCACAGGGCAGCCAGGACACTGGTGGTTCTGCTCATATCTCAAGTTTCTGTTCTGAGGACTGGTCCTCTGGAGAGTGTCTTATAAGGCAACTGAAGGGAATGTGATAATGGTGCTGACTCTGTTGATCTGGCCTTTACAAAAAGTCCCTAGCTCAGGGTTACCCTCACCAAGCAATACTAATGGGCCCTCACTCCTCATGGTAGGTATGTCTTCTTTGGGTCCACTGGTGCTATTCAATACTGATGAAGTGTTTGACAGGGAAGAATTTTCCATGGCCCAATTCCATGTCGCCAGATGTTTCTGTAGTGGTCTGTGTGTCTTCCCACCCTCCCTTGGAATGCACAGTCTCCTGCTGCAACGTGC